TCCATATGTCAAAACTATAAAAGCATAGCTATCCTATTTCAGTAAGGGTCCAGGGACTTGAGCTTTATTCAGCAACTTATCTGTTCCCAGGGTTCTTAGAAGCACAGAGTGAAAATCACTGATGTCATCCCCACTTAGTAGATAGCAAAGAAAGGGACGTGATTTATTGTGTTTGTTAGCAGTAGACTCTGAATTATGCATTAGATCTTGTGATTCTTAGATGCACTGTTTTCTATGAGACCATAATACCTGATGCATTATAGTAATTGTTATTCACTAAAATGTACTGATTTAAAGATAGTCTTATTCTATTTGAACTTTACAACTTTTTTTTAAATTTTATTTATTTATTTATTTTTTGTGAACATACTCTACAGAGGGGTTACAATTACATGGGCAAGATAATGAGTACATTTCTTATCAAGCATTGCAGCCTCCTCCTTTGTTTACCCTTCACATCCCTTCCCTTTACAACTTTTTAAATAGGTATATCCTATGCCTACTACTTTATTGCAAATAGTGTAGAATATATACAAGTTTTCTTTCTTTTTTTTTAAGTTGGGGTAGCTGGCAGTAGAGTAATGAGAATTTGTTTTTAAATATTGAAAAAATATGATGCCATGGAAATAATCAAGTACACTGGCATTGATATTTTATCTTGAAGGCAGTTTCTAGTCAAATGGTAGCTTGGGATTTGGCCTCTAGTGAACACTGTGTAAAAAGACAGGAGACAGTGGGATCTGGTGGCTCACATATGTAATCCTTAGCTACTCAGGAGGCTGAGATCTGAGGATCTTGGTTCGAAGCCAGCGAAAGTCTGTGGGACTCTTATCTCCAGTAAACTACTTAGAAAAAGCCAGAAGTGGTTCTGTGGTTCAATTGATAGAACACTAGCCTTGAGCAAAAAGAAGCTCAGGGACAGTGCAAAGGCCACTTAGCTCAAGCCACAGGACTGGCAAAGCAAACAAACAAACAAAAAAGGAGGATAGCTTGGGGCTAGCTTGAGATACTTACCTAAGAACATTGAAGGGTGAATCCCTCAGGGGGTGAAGCAGAAAAAGTCCAGTGTGAAAAAGGAGACTGGCCTATCAGTTAGACTCTAGATTGAAGTCTAGAGGGAAAAAAATGTATTCTTGAAAACTTAGGGCTAGAAATTATTCTATCTGTGTGACTCAATTCTTGTCCCCAAGGCAAAAGTGTAAAATGATGTTGGGTTGATAATTCCCTCAGGCCACCAACAGGAGCAAGCACAAATACTTTCTGAAGAAATGAACATTTAAAACCTAAACCTCTGGGCTGGGAAGGTGGCTCAGTGGTAGAGTGCTTGCCTCACATGCATGAAGCCCTGGGTTCAATTCCTCAGCATTACATAAACACAAAAAGCTCGAAGTGGCGCTGTGGTTCAAATGGTAGCGTGCTAGTGTTGAGTTGAAGAACTAAGGGACAGTATCAGGCCCAGAATTCAAGCCTCACAACCGGCCAGAAATTAAATAAATCAAATAAATAAGACCTAAGCCTCAATATTTTCCCACAAATTAGAGTGTAAACTTGTTCAACCATTTTGGGAAGCAGTATGGAGGTTCCTCAAAAGACTCCACATAGAGCTCCCCTACGACCCAGCAATCCCACTTTTGGGCATTTACCCAAATGTTTACAAACAAGATCACACTAAAGCTACCAACGTGACTATGTTCATTGCAGCACTATTTACTATAGCTAAGATATGGAACCAACCCAGATGCCCCTCAGTAGATGAATGGATCAAGAAAATGTGGTATATATACACAATGGAATTCTACACCTCCATCAGAAAGAATGACATTGCCCCATTTGTTAGGAAATGGAAAGACTTGGAAAAAATTATATTAAGTGAAGTAAGCCAGGCCCAAAGAAACATAGGTCCCATGGTTTCCCTTATTTGCAATATCTAGTATATGTCTGAGTCAAGCAGAAAAGGTCAGATAAGGTGATGTTAGGGAAATGAACCCTAAGATATGTATTCAAATGTTTTTTTTTCTTTCATGTGATTGTTTCTAAGGCATTTATAAGATTATTTCTTTGTTGCTTTGTATGTCCCTCCCCCACAGTATAACCCCTGCTTTCACTGTATTTGATGTTGTTATAATTTGTGGAAGGGAAGGGGAAAAACAAATTGTTTAAATAGGGATACAGGTAGACCCATTGTAACAATGAGATGTACGAGTCATGTCAAAAATGAACTTTACAACTTTGGTGCAGGGAGGGGGGTGGGGGAGGAGCGGGGAGGATTGGGTGGGGGGGCGGGGGGAGGATGGGAAGGGATGGGAAGGGGAAACAAAGGAGGAGGCTACAATGCCTGATAAGAAATGTACACATTATCTTGTCCATGTAATTGTAATCCCCTCTGGATGGTTTTTTCACAATTAAAAAAAAAAGATTTTTCCACAAATTAGATTCCAAAGAAAATGAGCTCACATTATGATAACTCAAAAACAGAAGAAAAGAAACCATCATGTATAGTACTTCACCTAAACAACAAACTGTAGTTACAAGTACAAAGTTTAAATATATTGCCATTATTATCAAGTAATATGTACATATAAGGTACTTAAAGAAATAAAAAGTAAAACTTAAAAATGAATGAATAGGGGTCTATAAAAATGACTGAGCAGTTTTAAAAGAGTCAAACAGTATTTCAGACAATAAAGTATAATAAGTAGAATTAATAAATGATTTGAATGTTGCACAGCTCAAGACAGTTAAGGAATGGAAAGATACTTGGAGAAGTTACAGGGAATTCACAATATAGAGAAAAAGAAAAGGATTTTTATGACAGCCAATCTAAGTAACATGAAAGAGATCCTACGAAGAAAAACATTTATCCAGTTAGAATTCCAGGAAGAAAGACAGGAGAGAATGGTGAAGGACAATGTTTGAATATTTTTCGAAATGATGAACAATTCCCCCAGTTCTTGCCTTCACGAATCCAAACTAAAAATAAAATCCTAGCTGTGAACCTTAGAATAAAACTGAAGAGCATGTGACAAAATGCAACAAAACCAACTTACCACAAAAAAGGTTTCCACAGAAATCAGGAGGATTTCACATACGGAATGAATTAGATTACCAGAGGACTATTCAGCAATAGTAATAGAAGTTATAAAAATGGAACAGTATCTTCAAAATATTGAAACAGGATATGGGTATACTCCCCAAACCCAAAACAAAGGATGATGTATATATTTAGATAAAGTTGGGAAGTCACTCTTTTTTAAAGATCTTCACCAAAGAAACTTCTAAAGAATGCTTTAGGAAAAACAGTTATCTTGAGAAGAATAATGGTGATTTAGGAAGACATGTTGAGCAAATAAAATGGCAAATTTGTAGTCAAGGATTATAGGCATGAGCCTATTATTAGGCTCATATTAGGCTTATATTATTAGCATATTAGGAGGCACAGAAAGACTGCCATTCCAGATCGTGCAAGCAACAAAAATTGTAAGACCCATGCCAACAATAATATCTGGGTGTGGTGGCACACATCTGTCATTCCAGCTATTGCAGGAAGCATAAATAGGAGGATGTTTGTCTAGTCTGGCAGGAAGAAAATGAGAACCTATCCCCAAAATAATCAGCGCAGTAAGAACTGGAGGCATGACTTAGGTGAAAATGAAAAGCCCTGAGTTCAAACCCTGGCACTTCAGAAAAACAAATAAGCAACAAACAGTCACAACAGCAAGAACACTACCAACAGAATCTCAAGCAGTTTTGTTAATAATTCAAAACCTGCAAATAACTAATATATGAATTTGCAATTCAATGTGCAAAACAAATGAAGACTATTTATACTATAAACTGTTTTTCACAGCAATGATGAATGACATTTACTCATATTAATGACATTAAGGCACACATACAATACATATATAGTATGATGTGAACCTTCAAATGAACTAAGTATTTGTTTAGGAATAAATATCTACATGTGATGGAACTGTACAAACAAAAGAGTAGGTTAACACAAGATTCAGAGTACCAAATTATTATTATTAGTATTATTGTTAGTCTTGTGCTTGAACTCAGGGCCTGGGCACTGTTGCTGAGCTCTTTTGCTCAAGGCTCTACCAGTTTGAGCCACAGCACTACTTTCAGTTTTCTGGTGGGTAACTGGAGATGAGTCTCACAAACTTTCCTGCCAGGGTTGGCTTTGAACCACAATCTTCAGATCTTAGCCTCCTGAATTGCTAGAATTATAGGTGTGAGCCATCACCAGCACCTGGCCAGAACATTTCTTTCTGGAGATTGGCAGAAAGATTCACTGGAGAGATAAACCCAGAGGTACTAATAATACTCTCATTGAATTATTTTAAGTAGTATTTTCTCCATGTCATATATTTTATGACAAGACTATGATTAAATGACCAATATTTCATTTAAGAAATAATAGATCCCTCCCCCACAGTATAACTCCTGATTTCACTATATTTGATGTCGGTATAATTTGTGGAGGAGATGGGGAAAAACAAGTCATTTAAGGATACAGGTGGACCCATTGCAACAATGGGAAGTACAAGTTGTCATGTCGAAAACGAGCTTTACAACATTGGTGGGGGAGAGAGGTGGGGAGGATTGGGTGGAGGGGTGGGGGAGGAGGCTGGGAAGGGATGTGAAGGGTAAACAAAGGAGGAGGCTGCAATGCTTGATAAGAAATGTGCTCATTATCTTGCCCATGTAATTGTAACCCCTCTGTACAGTATGTTCACAAAAAAATAAATAAATTTAAAATAAAAAAAAGAAATAATAGAGCATTTAGGATCAGCACCTTCAGTTAGGAAAAACCTTAGCAAAACTCTTAAGAATAGACTGGTCCAAAGTTTGCTACTTCTCATCTTCAATTCCTTACCCACCTCATCTTTGCATATGGCTGTGAATAGTGATCCATAATAAATACATTATATATTCCATTATTTAGAGATCTTTTCCAGTCTTCCCTTATGCAAACATTTTGTTGCATCTTTCAGGTCATAACTTCTGTGCTGAAGCACCTAAATGTGGTGAAAACTCAGAATGTAAAAATTGGAATACAAAAGCTACCTGTGAATGCAAGAATGGTTACATCTCTATCCAGGGAGACTCCGCCTATTGTGAAGGTAAAGAAGGACTTAATGAAATTATTTTTCAGAAAATGGCTGATAAATGTGTTCCTGGATCCTTCAAGAAAACAGAACTGCCTAAGGTAGTGTGTTGTGTTTTATCCAGGATGTTTAAAAATCCACACCTTTGTAGGCACTAGAGAAACACAACAAAGAACCAGAAGCAAACAGCATTAAAATATCACATATGAAATACCCTGCTTCACTGTATTTAACAATCACCAAACAACAGTAAATACATTGTCTATTTTATCTGCTATTTCTTGTAATCTCTAGGTTCAACTATATATTTGAGATGCTAGAGTCTCTTTTCAAATGACACTTTGGCATTATCTATATCCAGTGAACATCTCTTCCATAAACCAAGGTCAGATTTACTCTAATTGTATTTCATAATAATTGATTAATATATTGCAAATTACTAGACTTCACTAAGAATCACAGTGACAGGACTCATAATTTGGATCCATGGGCTGATGCTATTACAATGTGTTTGTGGCCTCAAGCATGACCCACATTTGTACTCATCAGGACAAAACAACTTCTTGGCTTATGTGAATGCCTTTTTCCAAAAGCCTTCTACCTGCTGATCATTGTAGATCTTTTACCTTCAACATGCTAGAGGAGTGAGGGTTAGTTCTGGCCCTGTTCTTTATGTATGGTGCCATAATGTTGAGTCCATCCCAATATTATGGTATCAATTTAGAATTCTAGCAGACAAAGTAATTCTTGGGCATTTCTTCATTTGCCCAGTTCCTGTCATTTCAACCATTTCTTCTGTCTTTACTAACAGCATATGATGATGAAGTATTGGTCAGGAAAGTAACTTTCTTGGACTGAATAGATGGCATAATGCCTGACTATTCTACAAGTGATTTGGTTCTCAAGGGTATCAAGTTTTTCCGAGGTGAAGAGAGTATTGATGGGTGACAGATAGGGTAAATTCCTTTACATTCTACTGTCTTACATTATGGTCCCTGCTTGACTTTTTAGCTTGGGGCAAAGAGCTTTGCAGCCTTAAAGAAATTTACTTAATCACTTCTTGTGATCAGTTCCTGGTGTATAGCCTCTGCCTTTTTAATTTCTTTTGAAACTCCAAGGGTTATTAGTTTTAATACATCAAATTAATGCTTTCCTATTTTTATCTTAAGCTATTTTTGTCACATAACTGAAGTAATTAAAAATTTTATATGTGCACATTCTACCCTCCATTCACTGTTGAAATATCCTATAAACCAGATAATGATCTGCAAAAAAATGTATTTTCTCTCCTTCTATTATGTGTGTGGATAGACTCAAAACAGAGAAATGATAGCAGAAACCTTAACTTAATCCAATCCTGCTCCCTTGAAAACTAGAATCACTGCTGACCCCTTGTAAGTATTGTGATGCAGAAGAACAGGGGAGAATACTGTGCTGATGCTGTTCCAAGATTCTCTCCCCATTGACACCATTTTTTTTAATTACATAGAATCAGCATGAAGACAAGCTGGCTTTTATGTAGGAACATTTATTTTATTGGTTGAGTGATTTTGGGTCTGAACCTTTGTTTCTTGGACATAGTCCTGCTTAACTCAGTGTATGGGCCCAACCCTGAGCCACTGTGCCTTGTGTTTTTGCCATGGCTAATGGTCATGTTTCTGAGCTTCATTCATTTCTCATTGTCATGGAGACTTTCCATAGGTATGAGGGAACTTGCTCCTGGAGAGAAGGATAGCACCTCAGGAGAAATGGCTACATATTGAAGCCTTCCTAATATAAAGGAATAGGGGTACTACAGCTGGTCATCCAGATGGGGCACGGAGAGCCAAGTATGATAAATACGAACTTTCAGAACAGATGCCATTTCTTATTCCATCTGCCAACTTCAGCATATTGAACTTCGTCCTTGAGTGTATATCCCTGTGATTCATGGCACTTCCACCACTCCTCCCATAACATCCCAGGTAAGGAAAGGCAGAAGGAGCAGAAACTCACAATCTCCTGAATGGGACATTCTGTCTCTTCTTTGGCCAATTCTGGGGCTTGACCTCAGGAACTGGGTACTATCCCTGAGCTTTTTGTACTCACAACTGGTACTCTACCACCTGAGCCACAGCTCTACTTTTGGTGGTTAATTTGAGGTAAGAGTCTCACTGACTTTCCTGCCCAGATTGTCTTTGAATGGCGATCCTCACATCTCCGCTTCCTGAGTAACTAAAATTACAGGACTGAGACACTGGTGGCTGGCTAGGTTCTTTTATGTTCAGAGAAATTTCTACTTGGAAGCTGCCCCTTATCTCTACCACTACTTCATGCAGATTCCCAGACTTGGGTTATGCCTCAACACTCCTAGATTAACTTTTCAAAATGAAGGAAATGACTCACTGGTTTGGGCTAGTTGCATTCATCCACAGGAGTTCAAGTTTTCTTCCTGGATACCAAAATGCTCATTATCCTTTGAAACAAAGGAATGTGGCCACAGAAAAGGATATGGGTGTTTTTTGAGAAGCTATAACTGTGCCTATCTTATTCCTTCATTCACCGTGTTTCCCCAGTGCTCTGGGAAAATGATCTGGTAAAGAAAAGCTTCTCTCAGAGGGTGGGCTTGGTGTTTCATATTAGCCTAGAGAGAACAAGATACCCAGGAACGGCAGGCAAGTTGTTCTTTTACCTGTAATAAATGGAGTGAAAATGACCCATATTATCTGAGGCACAATGAGCACAACTGGCTTGCAAATTAAAACAAAATATTACGCAAATTATCCAGGTCATCTTGAAAAGCCTACTGGAGCTCACTGTAGAAGAGGAGGCACAAAAGCTTTCAATTTCCTTAACATCTTTGGCTCTGCCATGGAGAAGATATTGGAACTCCCAGTCAATCAATAGAAAGATAATAAGACTTTTGTCGATTACGATCCAATTCATAGCTATTGAATTAAAAGGAAATTTCATTTTGCCTCATAGAACTGAAACAGGTACATTCTCCATTTGGAAACTGCTTTATTTATGGATTTTAGTGTTTTGTGAATCTGGTGGGCTGACCCTTTTTCCCTTGGTGGTGTCATTTTTTTCTGAAGCTCTTACTTTTTGGATGTGGGGTCTACAGAGATAGTCTGTCACAAATGTTTTTTTTTTGTATAATAAAATTTTTAGATGACCAAAAAATAACAAAGATTCTATATGCATCCTGCAACCATTCTTTCAGGTATGGAAAATAGCATAATTAGTGTTAAAGGAAAAGCCTTTTTACTTACAGAGTTTTCTGAGTTTGCCAGATTCCTTTTATATCTGTTACAATTTCTGAGACTAAATGGTAAATCTTTGAGGAGAGTAGTCGCCCTGGCTACTATTCACTTCATGTTACAATTGCAGACACTGGGAGAAATCGAGTATAGATAAAACTCGATTCATTTCTCCTCCAGTGCTTTTTATGCTCTGACTTATGATGCTTCTAACCCTCCCACTACTTACCCTGCCCAGAGTTGTATTGCTGTTCAACATCTCTGCTGCCTCTTCAATTCATTCTTTTGACATCTGGTTTGGCTAAAGAAATACAAGTTAGCATGAAATGTCATTTCAGAGTGGGCACTACAGGATCATTGCAGGATTATACATTCTATTTCCTTTGTCACCAAAGCTGGCAGTGTTTCCAATCAGGACTTCTCCTTTGGCTAGGATTCCAGTAAAGATAACCTGGGGCAGGTGATGAGGCCAGTGATGTACTTGTGGCATAAATGAGGAATAGTCATGTGTTCAATGAAATTTACAGGTTTCCTTTCCATAGTGGAGCTAAGTTTACTGATATAACCTTCAGAGTGAATTTATCTAAAATGTATGGGTTCAGGCTCAGTGCTCTGTGAGTTCTCATCACTGAACATAACTTTTAACAGATCAAGTATTGAAAGTCACCAGGAAAAGAAGTATGATTTGTTTGGATCATCAGCAGTCTGCTTTCATCCTGCTGCCAGACAAGAAAATTTTTTCAGATCACAGTTATAAATTAGTGTTTTGTTATGCCAAATCTAACATGGTAAATTGCATCCTCCAACTAATGTGATCATGAGACAATGCATGTTAACTATTTAGCAAATTGTCTAGTATTCACTGAACAATTAATAGATGATGAATTATTATGATGATCATTATTATTAACCTATCATATCTATGTTTATGTGTTCCATACATAACACATAGAGAATATATGTGTTCCATACTTCCATTTCTTGGGACGTTTGGCAGTGGCAGAGGAGAGTGAGTTTGTATGGATGGGCTTAGATCTGCTTAGATCTGTTGTGGACAGTGGGAAACCAAGGATACTAGTCTATGAATTTAACTAATTCTTTCCTCAGAAAATCATAATTGGGGCTGTACTGAAGGAAGTATTTGGGAAAATTGTACTTGTACTAATATGAGTTTAATGATTGCATGTAACAAAGCTACTGAAATGACTAAACTATAGCAATTAATTAGCAAGGTGCTTTTGTAGTTTTGTGGTCATGATTGGAGGTGACAATGAGGGCTTGATCCCCCTGTGAGTGGTAAGGCACTGGGAAAAGATAGGAAGAAGCAGAGTTCAAACAGAGAACAGCTCTCTGAATGGCTAATGGAGAGAGATTTGTAAGAGTTTAAGGCTAGCATAAATGCTCTTGTGTAGAAACAACATTGTCCATTTGCAATTAAGAGAACTCATGTGTCAAATGGGTTCAGTGCTTAATTATACTCCTTATTTTCCAAGAAGTAATTTGTTTTTCACTTTTTTGTGAAAAAAAAGATGGCGACGGGGCAGTAGGGAAACGCCACAGTTCTCTCCAACCAAAAAGAGAGTTCGAGTTCCAACACTTAATCTCCCCAAGAGACCGACAACAACAAAAAGACGAACACTCAGAGAAAAACCAGAGGCAGAAAATAACAAAAAAAGAAAGAAAGGAAAAGAAGAATTTCAGAACAGAAAAAAGCGAAGACCCCTCCCCCAACCTTTACTGGCCGCGCGGCAGTGCGCCAAGCCGCCGGCCAGC